AAAAGAAAATGAATAGAGGAATGAAGAGAAACATAAAGAAAATTTTATTAAACTTGTTTAAGAAAATTCATTGAAGAATTTGGTTCAGTTCTAAGATTTTGAACTAAATAAAAGAAATATATATATATATATGGAATTATTTATTGAGACTCAATCATTGACATAAAAGATTAAGTATGTAATCTATTTTTTTAAGTATGAAACTTAAAAAGAATTTGATGATCTTCCAGCATGCCCCTTAATTATATATACATCACCCTTAATTGCCATTATTGATTCTTGTGAAGCACAGTTTAGATGGGTCTAGAAGAGTGAAATTGTAGCTTTAATTTTTATAAAAATGTTAAATTTGTACTTTTCCCACTGCTAAGTAGATTTTTCATATTTTGAAACTTTGATTTATAATTGTCTTTATTATTATTAAAGGAGACTAAAATGGCATGACAATTTTCTTCATGGTATGAAAATTTTATTATCTAAAATAAATGGGTACATACTGTATTTTAGTGTAGTTCATTTATCCTTATGCAAGGAGAAACATTTCATTATAAGCCACAATATCAATATAAAAAATTAATTATAGACATTTTTTCTTCTCCATTAAAAATATGCTTAATTTATCATTTTATTTGTCTTTTGGGGATTCCTGGGTTATATGGAATTTCAATGAAAACATACATTTCGTGGTCTCTGACTTGTACATAGAGAAAACAAGATAATAAATAGAGATGAAAGACTTAATCCAAAAAGCAGAATAGGAAACAAAAATACACCACAGAATTCTGAATTTGAAAACCACAGTTTAGATTCATAAGCATAGGGAGAGAAACATTTTAAGTATATAATTATTTGAACTATATTAATAACTATAATTTAAAAGTTGATAAAATGAAAAGTACTAAGTTAAGCATTCTTTTAAAACCATTGTTACTCCACATATTTGGAGCCATAGCAGACTAATATAGCCTTAAATATCATCCTCCATTAATCTAAATATATTAATTTAAAATGTTTCTACTTCGCAAAAAGCTGCTGATAAGGCATATTGTGCCTCAGTGTACATTATAGTCTGATAGTGGATGGGGATTTCTTTGCTTAAATAAGTAGTGTTACTAAACACATAATTTGGACATGGGCAAACTGGCACCCATGGGCCACATTTGGGCCACTATGTGTTTTTTGTAATAAAAACTATATTGGAACTAGGCCACACCCACTTATTAGTACACTGCTTGTGGTTATTTTCACGCTACAACAGAGTTCTGTAGTTATGACAGAGACCTGGTCTGCAAAGTCAAAACGATTTACTAGCTGACCCATTACAGAAAACATTTATAGACCAGTGACTTATGTTAATGTTATGCTAGCTTGAAATTTAATTGTAATTTAACTCTTTCCTTCCATTTTTGTTTGTTTTGTTTCAAGATTAACAATTCTTTTCTAGATTTCCTTGCATCTATCTAATAGTCTAGCTGATATTTTCAAGAAATTTCTGTTAGAAGACATAAAATAATGTTATTTCTCAACAGTCTCAGTTGGGTTCCAATGTGCGCCTTTGGTGATATTTGGTAGGTACGCCCCTCATTCTGAACTTTAAAAAGATAATTTCGCTTTCCCAGTGTCCTTCAAGACTACTGCGGTGGCCACGGCAACTGGGAGTTTACTTCAGCATCTCTGAGGCTGACCAGATGGAAGCCTGCTGCAGGATGATTCCACTGGTGACAAAGATGAAGTAGAAAAAAGTGGTGACTTGAAAGGGGATTTTGCAAAGGAGGCATTTTTCTTGATTTACCATCTCAATTTATAAAAAATAATACGCAAAATACTTAAATGTTGGAAAGCTGAACATTTTAAAATAGCAACTGAGACTACCTTTGGAAAGAAGATTTTCAAAAATATAATTTAAAAAATATTTCAATGGAAAGAACTTGGGCAGCAGCTTCCTAAAAGGAACATCAAGGCACAACAGCAGAAGCACGGAGGCGACAAGGTGAGGCTGTCGGAAAAGAGGATCTGCTTGGTAAGTAGACACTGGGTGAAACAGGACTGCTGGGAGGGATGAGAGCATATCCTTTCCATATTTTAATGGAAAGAGCTTGGGCAGCAGCTTCCTGATCTGCTTGGTAAATAGACACTGGGTGAAACACAGCCGCTGCAAAGGATGAGAGCATATCCTTTGTCCGTGGGAAGAACCTGAAAGTTCTTTGAGAAAGAACTACCAGACCTCAGTAGGTATTTAATGTGGAAAAGAAATGAAGCAGGAGGTGCTGTGTGAACAACACAAACAGAGGCTTAGGAAAAGTTGAATATCTCAACAGACACCCATGTTTGAAGGAGGCCATGCCTGAGCCCTGGACTGGGCAAAGCTCACACATGCAAACAGACAGACGAGGAGGGACCCAGGATCAGTGTTGTCCTAACGACCCTAAATTAGTGTTACGGCTCTAGCATGAAGCACCAGGGCAAAGCTGGTAGGGATGCGGTGAGCAGGTCTCAGAGGAGACAGCATTGGGGAATTCTAAACAGACTGTGAGTTCGAGGCTACAATACTAAGTTTACCTAGAAATGACGATCTGAATTCCGCTATTACAAACAATTCAAGATTTGAAATTAAAGTGCTCCTGAGAGGTCAAGAAATAAATGTCTTGCCAGCTGAAAGATGGCCAGGGGAGAGACGGAGAAAGTACCTATTTGTCATTATTTTGGCTGCTATCCTTTCAATACATGATTCAAAATTATTAACACTTATGCGTTAATGTATGAACTACTCTCTTAGTGATGACATGACAAAACTCTGATTTTTCTCAAGTTTAGGGTGTGGAGTTAAAGAAAATTATATGTGCTGAGGGTTTTTTTGTGCTATTAAATTAATAATGTACACCCTAAACTCATAACATACAAAAGAAATAAATTTGACATTTTTGTCTTCTCATTTGGAAGTGACTCGAAGTATTTATATAAATTGCTTTAACTTTATTATATGCATTTTCCTTAAAACGACCATCATATATACAAAAACTTTTAGTATTATGTTTTACTGACAAATAACTCACCACAAATGCTTATATTCCAAACCTCATGGCTAGAAACTCATGTTCTTACCAACTTTCCTTCCCTGAGGACATTGAGTTTATTTGTATAAAATAAAACTGTGTAGTGATGATCTAATTCTCTTTTCATAGCTCTTTAAATTTTCTTTTAACACTAACTTCGGAATTATCCAGTGTCATTTTTTAAACTTTGTTTCATTTCTTTCAATTTCTTCCAAGATACTCTTTCTAAAGATCTAATAGATCATCCAGAAATAAGAAAATATTCTCATGATGGTCAGTGAAACTGGAGCAAGAACATCCATCCTCTGCTCCTGTACATTGTCCCAGACTCTGGGACCTGCACAGAGGTTGTCAATGACATCCCAGCCAGTGACATTTCATTGAATAGCACTGATATTATTTCTGCAACTTAGACTACACAAAGATAGGAAAATGATTAGTAGTGAAGTACTGAACGGTCTGTATAGGATTAATTTATAATCATCATACCTGCAAATACAGCTGCTGAGAATTTGTTTTTGATTTGCATTGAATCTGTGGATCAAACTAGAGGGAATAGCCATCATAGCAACAGTGAATCTTTCTACCTATGAATAAGGTATATTTCTCTATTAATTTCAATATTTGCTGATTTTTTTCCTTCAGAACCGTGTATATTTCTGGCATATATTTTGTAAGGTTCATACCTAAATATATACCATTTTTGGTGCTTAATGAAAACGGTCTTACCCTTTTAAATTTGTAAGTATATACTTTTAAAGTATATATTGAAATAGAAGTTTTGACCTATAAGGAAAGTTACATTTCAGTTTAGATTTAATTAATTATAAATAAGTGAAGCAAAATAGTTTACATTTTGTTCCTTTTTTGTCAGTTAGATAAAAACTTTGTATTTCGATGCATAATTAATATTCATGATTAATGGAGATAGTTAAAAGCATTAGTGTTAATGAAGAAAGACAGTGAAGACAACTACTTTGGTGAAAAAGTACTGTTAGGTTTTTAGTTAACTGCCCCCTAAAGCTGAGATTTTCGTGGTACCCTTTCTACTTCTCCACTCGAACACCCTCCAGATGAGAAAGAAAACAGACCATGTCAATTTTCTCTAGCATCATGCAAATTCCAAAAAATACGATATTTATACAAACCATTGAAGCATATCAGGGCATAAACTATTTTGATTTTATTTTAATGTCATTCAACTTATGATTGAATAGGATTTCTTTAACGCAAACTAGTAATTATTCTGAACGTAAATTTAGCAGTCTGTAATATAGATCTTCCCTAAGAAATGAAAATTTGAGGCAGCAGTAAAGGTAAAATGGCAAAAGACTGGCATGAGATGAATTTAGAGGCCTCCAGACACCTGACACTTTCTAAATTAAATCAATAAGTGACACTCTGTGGTCCTTCAGTGCAGCTCAGATGAAATACTGCACATCCAACGTTCCGCAACGTGCATTTACATCAGGGCTGTGGTCGTAGCAGAATCTTGCATTTTCAAAAATAAGAGTTCTAGAGTTGTTTGTACTATCAATAGCAAATATAAACATTCTTATTTGTGGCAAGATATTTATATTGGCAAAACATCTTTATGGATTTTAAAATGAAGATTTAAGAAAGAAAAATGTTAAAAACATAAGCAAAACTACATGTATCTTAAAAGATGTGTAAAAGATCGCACAATGATTTAACAGCTGTGTGCAGGAAAGGTAAACCGTTGCATCTTACGTACTTAAGTGCTAAAAATAGGTGCACACACGTCTAAGAGGAGCCTATAAAAAGGGAGCGGATGTGGAGGACCCAGCAAATGCGAGATCACTGTGACGACACGCCGCCTCCGAGGGCAGTTTTTCAGGAATAGTGAAATTACCATCAGCGTGAACTAAGACATCTCATAGAGTCTGAGAAACTTTAGCACTAAACGCTGCAGAAATAATGCGTGTTAGCTTTGCACAGTGGCAGTATCAAAGCCAATGAGGTTTATCCGAGGTGTGATTCTTACTAATTGAAAAAAAACATATTGCGTTTGTTTGTTCAATATTCATAACCTTTTTACAGTGGACCTGCTGGGTGTTAGGTTCTAGGTTCACAGGGTTAAGCCAACCACATGTGGATCCAATATTTTAAAGTTAAAAGTTAGAAGCAATAACTACCTCAACTGATGAGCATTCACAACAAAATGACAGCTGGTTTAAATATATCATATTTTTTGGCATTTGCATATGTATATTTTTTTCAGAATAGGTTAACAAATAAAGCTAGCATAATCTGGAGGGGCATCCAGAAAAGATTGCCTGAAGGAATGTCACTTAAATGACATCTTAAATGCTCCTGCCAGACTAGCCCTACATAGCTCCAGAGGTGTTGCTCACGGCTACTCCAGTTCTGCTACTTCCCTGCTTTCTGCCAGCTTGGGACTGCAGCTTCCTGTCGCTGTTAAAGCCTAGGCTGTCTCACCAGCTGCTGTCTGGATTTCCCACATGTCCATCACCTGTAAAACAACCCCTTGTAGTAAATTTTCTCTGTTACAATTAAAGAGGTTTCATTTCCCAGTTGCATTCTGACTGATCGCCTGATCTAAATATCAATCACCATCTTTCCTTTCAGCAGTGTTATTTTAGCAGTATTAGCAAAATAATGTTCTACAATAGCACAGCATCCACGGCCATCGCAGGGTTTGTAAAAGCTAGGTCGGTTACACAGTGAAAACCACCCTTTGTAAATATTCTATTCACTTCGATTACACTTAACACATATATCCTTTGGTATAAAAATAACAACAGATTTTTTTTCTTAAGTCTCATATTGTATATTAAGTCATTTATAAATGTACTGCTTTGTCTTTAAAATCCACTGTATCTGACTTGATTAATGAACTGATTTAGTCTTTGATCACCACATATTCATCCATGATGCCACATAAGATGGACTGCTACTTTCACTGATTGGGACTGATGTACATGTTTCAAATGAACTCCAAGAAAGACCGTGAGCCTCAAGTCATAGCCACGTCTCCCAAAGTTTGTTTCTACTTATAGTATTTACAGAATTAAGTCAATAAATAGTCGATAGTCGTAGAATATTATCATCCTATCTACCTTTAAAGATAAAGAAAGAGGACCAAGTTTTATATTTTTCTTTGTAAACATCGAGTTTAGAATAGCAAGACTAAAAGTCTTAGACTAACAGAACATATTTAATATTCCCATTCCTCATGAACTTTGCTTCTCCCAGAAAAATACAGAAAGAGAGAGCCATTTCAGCCTCTACTTTTTCTGGATATATCTGCTATCTGATAGAACAACCATAACTGCAGGGGTGAGGAGAAACATGGAAGTCATGCTCTACATCTAATGACAACAATACAAGGTGATGGCCGAGATAACGGCATTGGACCTTGCTTATGGAGTGCAGAGTGTCAAAGGGACTCTAGTTTTGGAATGCCCATATCTCCTCACTCATACTTTGAGTACACAGCAGCTTACCAGTTGTGAGCACCTGCATTTGGTGCTGTGACAGAGAGATTTCTCCTGCTACTGCAGCTTATTTCCATGTGGGAGAAGGAATGGAATAGAAGGGTGAGAAAGTCAGTGACATCACACCTTCACCCACACCGAGCACCACGCAGTGACTCTGAGGCGCTGATGTGGAAATCCTTCACTTCCCTCATCTCCCTCTCAGCCGCTAGGTGAGTTAAACTCCACTGTCCCCAGTGAACAGCCACCTTTTGTTGGCTGAGTTATCCTCTTGCTCTCACTTCCACTCTTTACCAGTGGTAACTTCAGTTCCGAAATGAGCATTCACCTTGAATCTTCATCTCCAGGTTTGCTTCTGGGACAACCCAAATTTTGACAGTTGGTTCAAGTCATGAACCCAAGAGATCACGGCCCCCTTGTCAGATTGTGGAGCTAGGAAGGTCGGTTCCACACAGATCTGACAAGATCCTCACTTTGATTTTCTGGACCATACAGGAAGATCTATAACAATGGACAGCATATTAAGTTGGATTCAATACTAAGTCTCAGGGAAGGTGGCTGGTATTGGTGCCGTTGTCAGAGTGGCGGCCCCTGTCACAGCTACTCAGCTCAGTGTGGTGTCTGCACAAGAACAACTCAGCACAGACTTCACACACTTGATGTTTAGCTACTGATCTGGCAAAGGAAATAGTTTCAATGACCATCAAAAAAATAGGACTAGAAAAACTTAGAATTCACTTCTGAAAGCACTTTTGAGCCCATTCTCATCTGAACTAATAGAAATTCAGATATATCCATTTTCTTTCTCAGAGTTATTTGAACTTCCCTAAGCTCAGTCACAGTAGAGGTAAAAATGTGGAAAGAACATTTAACAGATATTTGATTTTGGGGGGGGAGTTGTTGAAACTTTTGCTTACAAGAGGTATATGCCACTATGCATATGATGGTTTTAAAAACTGGGAATACATATCAAGATTCTTGAAAAAATAAAATAACATTAGGTTATGCAAACGATTGCCTGTAGTTCAGGCAATTAGGATAAAACTTGCAGAAACACTATGATACACAGATTGAAAAAGTTCAGCACTTCAAATAACTTGGATGAGAATTGGAGATAATTGAGCTATTGAAAACTGTGACAGATGACTCAAAAATTGGCTGCCATAATAAAAAGAAAATTCTGAAGTCAAAATTTAAAGAGAAGAGTTTGAATAAAATTAACTACCCATGTGGCAGTAGAAAGCAGCCTTTTTACGGTAATACATTAAGTAATACTTAATATTTTCAAATACGTAATACGTATGTGACTAAATTTAAGTTAACATAATAAGTGTGGCTGTTTAATCAGGTTTTTAAAAAATGTGTGTGTTCAGGTTAGCCATGATGAGCTATTTCCATTCAGCTAACAGGCTGTGAAATGATCCTGCAGCACTTCCCAGGAGAGCGGCTTGTCGCCAGGGTGTCTGTATCAGACGAGTTCAGGAGCCACTGTGCTATATTTGGAACCACAAACCCCATTTGACTCACAAGCCCTGCTCTGCAGTGGGATTTGTAATAGCAAGATCTTCCCTTATCAGGATGATTTTCTTTGCTTTTTAGCAAATCATTGCTGCTCCGGGCTCTGTTTGACCCAATGTCTCTCTACCTTGTGTATTGGGCACTTCTCCATATGTTTCAAAACTAATTATAAATATAATACAAGTATAATTATAAATATCACCAAGTTTTCTCCCCAGGAACTCCATCAGCCTTGCATGAAACCCAGCTTTAGCCAAAAGGAGACTGTTTCTATTCCACAATTTATTACTCTTTATTTAACCATCTCTCTATATTTGGGCTTTCATTTTGTTTCTGATTATTCATTTTTATAAATAATGCTATTGGAAATAATCTTGTACATCAATTACCCTCACCATTCTTAATGATTTTTTCAGAATGAATTCCTGGAAGTAAGTTTCTTAGACCTGACAATGTGATCGATTTGAGGCATTGATACTTACAACCATATATCTTTTCATTTTTACTACAAATAAATTAATAAATTAATAATTGATATTTTAGAGTAAATAATAACAATAAAACAGATTGAATAAATTATTTCTTATCAATTACTTAAAATTACTGTAAAGTCAAAGTTATTTTTATTTCTTTTATTTAAAGCCCATGCAACTCTTCCAAAAGAAAGGAAATTGCCAATAATATTCAAATAGTGGATTTCTGGTTAGCCCAATACCATAATACTAGCAAAGCTTTGACCCTATATAAATTTCCTCTTTAAAAAAAAGTAAGTAACTGAAAGAGCAAATTAAACAAAAATAGCCACAAGTATCTTCACCAAAGCCCGTTTCAAAGCTAACCCCGCAATGCAGAATTAGAGTGAATGAGGCCAGTCTCTACAGGCAGGACCCTGTGGGCTCCATGTACCCTTAATAATTATACAGAAATAGTAAAGTAAAATACATAGACGCAAACTAAGCAATAAATGTTTCAATCTTTGTGAGAAAAACAATAGAGCAGTTTTAAAAGGCAGTGAGAGACTTGGACAAAAGGCAAACATGCCATCCTGTTTCATGCACCCCAAACTGGAGCCATCAGAGCTTGGCCCACACATGGACCTATACCTCAAACTTCAAGGATGACTTAGTTTAACATCTGTATCCTTACTAATCCTACAACACACACCCGCACATACACATTTGTACTACATGTATATGTACGTGTACACATACAGCCTATTCCTCTAAATTCTCAAACATTTAGTGAGATCCTGGGCTTTAGAGTCCAGCTTTCACTTGTGGTTGGTTCTTTGCTGTCTTTTCCCCTAAATTACATGACAAGGCTCTCAGGGGCAAAAGAAGTGCTCGGTCTTACCATCCCCACCTTACCCTTCTTGCGCAGACTTGGAATTGTGCACATAAAATCCTTATAGTTTCCAGAAACAAAAGAATTTAAGAATACTGAACATTGCAGATGCAGAATATACTGATTTTTTGTCTCTCAATTTTAAGGGTAATAAATAATAAATACCTTCTAAATGAAAAGCAGAAAGACCTGTAAAAAAAGAATAAGGGTAAAGAGAAAGGCGGAGTGGTTCTCTGAGTAAGTATTTCTCACCTCACGACAGGGGAATAGACAATCCCTGCCCACGTTCAGAAGTGTACTTCAGGGAGAGGCACCTGTTCCCACTCCATTGTCAAAGCAGTCAGAGACATTATGTTTTGAGTTCTTTTTGCTAATAAAGAGTAAATAAGAAACTGGATGTTAAACAATAGTGCACCAGCCACTCTAATAGTCATACAGTTGACAGATACAATAATTCTTTCTTAAACCTGATAATACAGAGGAAGGTTATATACACTTGGAACCATCAAGCCATTACAAATGGAATGAATGCAGGAAAGAAAAGGCCCAGCAAATAACAAAGATTAAAGATTTTAATTAGTAGGGCAGAATTAGTCAGTGAAGGGAGGGGCAGCAAAGACAGTGCATCCAGAGATTAACACTGGCCACCCACCGCTGGTCACAAAGCATCAGTGATAATAACACAGACCACACTCAGACAGAGAAACGCCGGAGGAGCCAGCACAGCGTGAGGGAGAGAGGAC